ACCTGCAGGAAGGGGACATCTGAGCTCTTGAAAGTGCGGATCAGCTTCATGAAGTCGTCCTCCAACACCTCCTAATGCTGTTCGACTAACTCTTTTGGCAGGCCGTCCAGCCTTGGCGATTTTTTCGCAGCCATCCCCCCGACAGCCGCTTGAACCTCCTTTGCCATCCACTCAGACAACAGAGCCCTTCCGTCCTCTTCTGTGAGTCTTGCCCTCCACAGGAGTCCACCGCGCCAACACATCCGAGCCCGAATTCTTCTTAAAATGTTCGCGAAGAACCTAGAGGTGGCATCAAGAACCTCCCTTGATCCTCTGAAGGTACACGCATCCTCCACCACTTCCGCAATCACCGTCCTGCTTTTCTTCGCCTGGATCTTCGTAGACACGACCTTCGATGGCAACTGCCCTTCAAGCTCCACTTTCACTCCTGCAGTCTCTCCTTGTCACAGTGTTGATAAAGCTTCAGGAGGGCCTCCTGGGACAACAGACTCTGGCGTCTCTGCTCACAGGCCGGATCATGCATCACCGCTTGCCTCATACAACCACATTCCGCTCTAGATGCTGCCTTGTAGCTCTAATCCCGTTCCTTTCCTCCCTCGCATATGTGCGCAGGCCGGCATTTAACTTCCTGGCCCGATCTAAGAAATCCCCTTTCCCTTCCGCCTTGTGCCGCCGAGTTATTCTTTCCACTAGAGCCTTGACTCCAGGACGCTTGACCTGCAATGCATGAAGCCACCAGAGACCCAGCCCAGCCGACACCTTATCATCTGAACGAAGCCGCATGGATATCGTGCACTCTTGATCTGAAACGCCAATCAGGATGCCGCTGTGCTGCGACACCATGACCATATAAAGAAGCCGTTGCGGAAGCAGAATCCGATCAAATCCTGGAGCTGGATCTCGCCGACGACAACTTGAATGTGTACTCCACTCTCATCGGATGCAGCTCTCGGAAGACGTCCCGCATATCCCTCTTCCCAAACGGGTCCAACTGCCGACCGTTCTCGCCCGACGACTCCATCCGCGAGGATCTGTCCAGCAGCGGATAATCAACGAGATTAAGACCCCCCACCCGAACCGCGTCCTCCTCCGCCGGTATATGAGAAATGAAGGGGACGAGCGAGTCTCTAAACAACGGAGCCCTTGCAATCGTATGAGCCGGAAAGTACGCAACCAGCAGTACTAGCTGAAGTCCTCTCCAGGTAAGGATGACCCTATCTAGTCTACCTGATACGTCAGAAGACGACCCAGTGACCACTACATCGGACTTGAAGACCAAGACCGCTACACCACCAGCCTTAGAGCTCGGTGGAACGACAAGCGAGCAAATCGGGTTGACCTCAATCCAGAAATTGTGATCTGCTGCAATCCTGGTGTCCCCAAGACAACTATATTCGCTACCCTACTAAGCCAGTGCCTAAGCTTCTCTTGCTTCCCTCTGCTACCCAACCCATTCACTTTGAGACTACAGATAGATAGGTGGTTGCTATCCATTAACAAAACCTACAGAGGCCCATACGCATCCACTGGGCAGCAAGGAAGGAGATGACAACGAACCGACTGACCTAAGGTGAGACAAGACCCAAGAACCACAACTCCGAGGCCATCTCCAGGAAACACGACCACTCAATGGAAAAAAACAACTACTGACTTCTAACTATAAGAACCGACCGCTGCATTGACTTCTGATCGCAACTGCTACAGCTTCTTGTCCAATCCATAATCTTTCTTCACCAAGAGCAGAGAGATCTTCCCCTTGTTGCGATGGGTTGCACTATCCGCCTGTGGTAGGCCGGTGCGATGACGAGTGAGCCGAATAAGCTTTCAGGCTTGCTCGAATGTAAGACCAAGAACCAAGCAACATCAACCTTGGGTGCAGACCCAAGCTTCTCGGTCGGATCCAATCGATATTAGCACAATGGCAGGGTCCTTGAAGATTGACCCCATCATGCCTACTGGCTTGAGCGATGCAACTGAAAGCGAAACAACAGCGAGTGAGAAAGCACAAGACATGAACTGGCAACTGAGGAAAGATGAGAACCAGCCAGTTACCGTTCAACGCATTCACCATCTCCAGGGTCAGCTTCCATATTTTTATGTTGCCCTGACGTTCGGTAACGAAGACATCATGTACCGCCATGAGGTGTTGACCGCCACACAGCTTGCACGTAAACTCCGAATAGTGGACCAGGATCGTCTTGCCATTGCCAAGCAAGTCCTTGATGACATGCAGCGGGTGGAAGCCGTCACCAGGGTGAGAAAGAACCAATCCACGGATCTTGTCAGTATCCACCCCCATCACCGGGTCCACCATACGGTGAAACTGAGATCCGCTCAGGAACGCCGACCTCTGCCGAAACTCCAGAGGGACGTCAAACAACAATTCCTGAATCATCGAAGGGGTTGTACCAGCAGAGACACCCTTGCACAGGACTTCCATCAGTTGCTTATCAACAGCCCGAGCCTGAAGAAACGCAGCATTCTCAGGGTGCTGCCAGCGAAGAGTTACCTGTTCACAATTAGCACACACATGATCCACCACCTCTTGCCAGATATAGTTAGCATCCCGCTCACGGAGAAGGGAGACTTGAAGCCGGCCATATCTGTCCTTCGACATGTAAATATGGTATAGATACTGAAACTTTGTCGTTAGCTTGACATCGGCACCGAGATTCCTCGCCCATAGCTCCAGCAGCAAACCTCCCGTCTCCTTAGTCCGCGGGATCTCCAAGCGATACATGTAAGGGATTAGAAGCGTCAGCGTGAAGCTTGCTTTAGCTGCAACTTCCCCCTTACGGATCGGGTCTGGATGTTCATTTGGGTCGTCACTGAGACAACCGTCATCATCTTCATCTTCCAAAACATCCTCTTCACACCCCTCAGTATCCACCTCTGGAACAGATCCAGGCGGCACCGACGGGCCAACTGACGGCTCAAACACAATCGACACCGGCGGAGAAGACATTGGAACACCAGGAGCGGACGCAGTAGCAAACAACAGGCCCCACCGGAGCAGGACCCTGAACCGAAGCCGAAGGAGGCACCGACGGCAGCTTATTCTGGAACACCAAGGAAACAGACCCCTCAGCAGAGTCATGAGGCAACGACGTCTCTAACGGTGAAGGAACCGTATCCTCAGTATCATCCATCTGAGAACGCCGATGGCTGGCCCGGGTCGTGATAAAAGCAGTCGCCTGAGCCTTGGCTTCGACATCGTGCAGTGATGATAACCTTGAAGTTGGATAGAACACGCGGGATATCTAAGCATAGACTCTCCCTTTTGAAGTAGTCTCTGACGATACTTCCACCCCCTCCATGCTTTCAGGAAAGTGGATTGAGTCAAGGATAATGATCACTGACAAGATCCGTGGACCTCAGTGATTGCAGGTGACAGATCACAGACTGGATCTGCAGCTGACAAGGTGACACCTGGCAATCAAGAAATGGAGTCTTGGGAATATTTGAAATAAAAACGGGCCGCATGATGTTCAAGGAATGAACATTTTTAAAAAGCTAGTCCTGTAGACATTGTTGCGTAGAAGCCAGAAACATCAAAATAATCGCGATTAGATAAAAAGTAGGTGTGCATCAGAGAAACGGGTAGAATCCATAGAGGCCTAGGGAACTCCATGGCCTCACCTCCAAAATTTCTTTTTGGATGCGTGTCTGTGCCACTAACACATACACTAATTGGTCCGAAACTCGAGTTCCGAAACTTGAGTTCCGAAACCTAATGTACCACGGCCAAGGAAGCTGGGCAAGTACATCCGATTTCTACAAGGATTTTGGCGTTCACAGGCATTTTTTCTGTGTCGACTGCACTCGTTTGAGGCAAACGATAGAACGCAGTTTTGGGGCTTGCTGGCAGTCGTTTATTGGTCGTGCCCTAGCTGTTTGGGATGTCGCGACTCGATTTCGCTGATGTGGCGTGTCACGTCACGTTTCAACATAATTCCGTCATTGGAGTTTCAGGCGACCAGCTCTACAGTCAAAATTGAACCATGTCCCAGGGATATTCTTTAGGGGCTTCTGGGCCTGCGCCGTAGTTTGCCCCAAGCGCGGAACGCTCCCAGGGGTAGTCTTCAAAACCTGGAGTCACGTAATGTGAGGTCGAATTACCGAAGCATAAATCCTTAAAACTTATTTTAGTATGTAAGGAACCGCGCTGTACTATTCAGTGACCTCTAAACCTGACGTCCGTTTTTCACGCTTCTGCAGCTACAGAAACAAGAGAGCCTTCCCTTGGAAGGGCAGCGAGGGGTTTCTTGTGGAGTGGATGTCTTCACCTTTCCTTTCTTTCAGGCGAAGTGCCACTGCTGCAGAGGGGGCACTGCCTCCACCATGTGTTGTCCACTCTAAATCTCGTTTGTCTCAGATCACGTAGCATAAAAAATCGGATACTGTACAGTCATTGCCAAAATCGGCTTCTTATCACATTGTGAAATGGAATTTCACATTGCCCTGGACCAGATATGGCTTAGTGTGGGAAAAACACACAGACCATAACGGGTTGAGCTGCTGATTCCAGAAGCTCCTCGTCGCGTGAATCCTCCATTCGGAACATTCTGTTTCATTCTGTGGAGAGTTGACAATTCTCTACAGTACGCGGGTCTTTCTCGCTGTTGCGATCCCTTCCACTGGTTTTTTGTTTTGTTTTTTAATATAACTACCCACTGGTTTCCCTCCACGTGGGACCGAACATTCGTCATTCCAGAATACACCCCAACTTCTTTCCGGGGCTCGGAAAATACCCCTGGCTGTCGGTTCCCCGGGCGGTCACGTACAATCACATTCCGAAAAAAAACAAATGCAGCCAGACTGACATACACGCTTGATTCTAACGAGGTTTAGAGTGTACACCAGACTGAACCATGCATGAGTTTTCTCGCCGGCTTCCCCTTGTCGCAACGCAAGTGACTTGAGCAGTGCATTTTGGACTCCACTCACCGAAGACGTGTTAGTACTGTACAGTACCTGACTCCATCCTTCTCTTCCCTCCCTTAGCTGCCATCCCTATACTGTGCTTATATCCCTCCAGCCCTCCCGCTCCGACCTACGTCGACTGCTCTTCCTCCCTGTCACTCGCTCCTCTGCTTTCCTCGCTACTTCCCTAGCCGCCGCTCCACCAGCACCAGGGCTTCACGCCCAACGACGGCTTGGCCCGCAGCAAGGAAGCAGCGTGGGCCGTGACTAGCAGCGTGGGCCGTGACTTGCAGCGTGGGCCGTGACTAGCAGCGCCCGCAACGGCTCGTCGAATTCAGCCTCGGACAGTCTCAGCGCCCCAGCCACAGCCGCGACACGCTTAGTTGCACGCCTAGTTGCGAGCGTAGTTGCCTGCCTAGTTGCGCGCCTAGTTGCGCCTAGTTGTACGCCTAGTAACTTGCAATCAGGCGCACGTCCTCTCAGCGCCTTCCCGCCGTCCCTTTCTCATTCAACGCCTCCTTCTCCGCCGCCGCTCCCTCGCCCGACGTCCTGCACGCGCCCCGCTTTCTCAAGCCACGCTACTTTCGCCGGGGCCTTAGCCGCCATGAACTCCGTCCGGGCGAAGCGCAGCGCCGCTCCTCCAAAGGCACCGCGCGCGAGACGCTGAGCCGCGCGGCTGTCGGTCTGGTGGCGCTAGCGGTTGGCGTCTGCGGGCGTGCTGACAGTCAGGATAGCGCCGGCGTGACAGGATCTGTTTCGGCGTCGCGCGGCATAGTAGCATGGGGTCGGGTAGCAACGGGCAGGCAGCGCGGCCTGGCAACGGATTGGCTGGCGGGCACAGAGCCGGCAGACGCAGCAGCGGCGGGCGCAGCGTGAGCAGCGGGGATGGCGGTAATGGCGGTAATGGCGGGTCGGGCGCGGAGGGTCCCGCGGGTGAGAGGCGACGGGAGCGGTGGTGGTCGTTGCGCACGCGAGCGCGGCCTCTGACGGCGGAGCAGCTGGTGTTCGCCATCGATGTCTTCCAAAACGGCTTCTGGGTGCTCTCCTGCTCGCTCAAAGGTCGCTACCACGTCCACTGCCTCCCTGCTTCCCTGTCTTCGCCTCGTTTGTCGTCTCCCGTCACATGTCTCGCCCTCATGCCTGCGCTCCATCCCCGCCTCCCGTCCCCCCCATCGCTCACCGCCTTCCTCCTGCCTCACGCTTCTCCCCGCCCATCCCGTCCACCACCTCTTCCCCCTTTCCCCCCCATCTCCCCCCGCAGACCTGAGCGGCACCAAGCCCTACCACCACTTCTTCACAGTGGCCACCGGCTTTCCCCCAGTCGACGGCCCCCCGGGCGCCTTCAGCCGCGCCAAGCGCGCGCGCGCGCCCACAGAGTACGAGCTGCCGGCGGAGTGGGTGGAGTCGCTGACGCTCAGCTGCGTGGCCACCAAAAAGGGCCACCCCGACGTGTCCCTCGAGCTCTCCGCGCCGCCATGCCGCGCGTGGTTCGTGCCCGCGCAGGCGTCCTTCCCCGCCGTGCACTGCATCCAGTTCCGCGGCCGCCTCCAGCAGAAAGTCGCGCCCGCTGCAGCACGGGAAGAACGGGCGGGCTTGGGGGCGCAAGAGCAGCAGCAGCAGCAGCAGCAGGCGTTCTCGGAGGAGTTCGTGTGCACGCTGGAGGCGCGGGAGCGGTTCGGGTCGAGCCCATCCGACAACCAGTGGCACGTCGTGAAGCTGTCTGCGCAGCTGGGAGGAGGCACGGGCGCTAGGGGGGGAGGGGCGGGGGAGAGCAGCATGGGGCTAAGCAGCAGGTGGGGCGGAGGAGCAGGAGGGGGGGACTATAGCGGGTCTGCAAGCAGCGTGAACGTGCAGGGGTCCCATGGGCAAGCGTCGCACCGCCGCAGCGGGTCGTTGCGGCTGCCGTGGTCGCTGTCAGAGTCGCGCACAGGCAGTGGCAGTGGCAGCGGCAGGTGGGGCAGAAGCTTGAGCATCACAGGACGGGGGTGAGGAGGTGCAGCTAGGAGGAACGCGTGGCATGTGCTGTAGAGCGCGTGGATGGAGGTGGTGGTTACCATATATTGGGGAGTTAAGGGCACGCAGCAGTGGTGGACATGTGCTGTGAATAGATGGCCAGGGGTAAATGATGCTGGCGTTGGCCCACGCGGTGCACTCAATGGTGGTGGGGAGGAGGATGCATGGCCGGCCGTGCACGGCAGCACGTGATGGATGCGTTTGCAGGAACCACTGCGCTACTCCACGTGCTCAAGCACGCTCACTGACCTCTCTTGTTTCCGTCGCACGGCAGAGCTGCTCCGTACAGTGCTCGGCATTGCTACTGCTGGGCGCCAAGCAGGGTCTCAGTGTCAGAAGACTAGGATGCTAGGAACGATAGACGGCCATGGAATGGCGTGAGGGTTTAGCTAGGAGAGGAAGTTGACGAGAGAAAAGAGGTTGAGAATAGAAGAGAGGGATACAAGGAGGGGGGTTGAACCCCCTACAGTAGGTTTCAGTAACACCTACCAAGCCTACCAATAATATATCAAAGATATAATTTGACACACCCTCTAGGCTTGGTAGTCGAAAGCACACCACACACAGGACACTAAGTCAGACATATCTTTGTATGTTGTTATAGACTACACATTGTTAAAGTGAGAACGAATCATGACTAGGAGTGGAAACCTAGAACAAATACTAGTTGGTTGTACTCACTAGAAGCATACCTCAGTCTAGCCTATAACTTCTACATAGATGATATGTATAAGTTGACACACCCCCTAGGCTAGACAAGGGGTGAAACTAAACAAGAAGCAAACAGCTCAGGGCGGCACTACTAGTCCAACCACTGAGGCAGGGGTCTGGAGACCAGTCAGCAAGAATACAACCAAAACTGAAGCAAGCCAGGGTGGCACTACTAGTCCAGCCACTGGAGGTAAGGCCACAAGGCCAGTCTGACAAGCATATATAATAGAGAGTACACAATCAGGATCCTAACAGGGGAGTGGCTACAGGAACTAGACCAAGCTGTACACAGTGCCGCTGATGATCTTTAGGCGCAAGCGCCTTAGTAAAGATATCAGCTGTGTTGGCACCTGAGGCCAAATGAACTACACGGGCCTGGCGGCGCTGCTGTAGCTCGCGCAGGAGGAAGTACCGCAGCTGGATATGCTTCGCTCTGCCCTCAAGCCGAGGCTCCTGACACAGGAGTATCATGGCCCTGTTGTCAGCGTACAGGACCGGGGCAGAGCTAGGCCGCTCACCTAAGTTTGTGAGCAAGAAGGTCAGCCAGCGGAGCTCCTGTGCCGCCATGGCACCAGCGTAGATCTCAGCCTCACAGCTAGACTGAGCCACAGACGACGAGCGAGTGGATCTCCAAGAGATAGCACACGAACCAAGGCTGAAACAGTAGCCCTGCGACGACCTGAGCGTCTCAGCGTCGTCTGCCCAAGAAGCGTCTGTGTGCCCAGTAAGGACCACTGGCCTGCGTCCTCCTAGCACTAACCCCATGCCTGATGTACTAGCAAGATAACGCAAAACCCTCTTAGCGGCAGACCAGTGCTGAGGTCGGTGTCTGCCTGTAGCCACAAAGCGAGCCAGGATGCTGAGAGGGTATGCGAGATCTGGGCGAGTGCAAGTCATCAGGTACATGAGGCAACCCACCAGCTCTGCGTAGGGGCCACTGGGCTCTACTGGCTCCTCAGGAACGGGAGCAGAGAGCCCATGGTCTACGGGTAGAGGTGTGGGCTGTGCAGAGGAGAACTGAAGACCGAACCTCTGAAGGACCTGACGCACCAAGTGTGACTGGGTCAGAGAGATGGTGCGTGCTGCTCTGTCCCTAGAGATCTGCAGGCCAAGATAGCGACGCAGCTCTCCAAGGTCAGTGCACGTGCGTCTCTTCAGCAGCTCAGCCTTCACAGAGGCCAGTGCGTCCCTGTCAGGAGTAGCGAAGACCAGGCCGTCTACGTAGACAAGGATGTAGAACGGAGTCTGGCCGGAACGCACAAACAGTGAAGGGTCAGCAGAGGACGGAAAGAACTGCAGGTCTGCTAACGTGGCACGTAGCGTGTCGTGCCACTCGCGGGGAGCCTGACGTAGGCCGTAGACCGGGCGCCTGAGAAGCCACTGGGTCCCAGGAGGGAAGGTACCAGTGAAGCCCTGTGGTCGGCGCAGGTAGACCTGCTCGTGTAGGCTGCCTTGAAGAAAGGCAGTAGAGAAGTCGAGGGAGTGAAGCTCGTAGTCACGCTGTGCTGCTACATGTAGCAGCGCCCGAAGAGTGGTCATCTTCGGGGTCGGGGCGAAGGTCTGGAAGAAGTCAACCCCCTCGCGCTGACTGAAACCTCTGGCCACGTAGCGCGCCTTGAAGACAGGCGGCTCTCATGGGGGGCGCTTCACCTTGAAGAGCCACCGACCATCGACTACGTTCACCCCAGGCGGGGGAACTGCGTCGACGTAAGTGCCGGTGGACCTCCAAGATGCCATCTCCTGCTCCATGGCAGCTATCCACTGAGAGGCCCAAGGTCCCGAGGTGGCCTCAGCGTAGGTGCGAGGGGTCGGGATGTCGAAGGCGTCTGGGTCACCCTCAGGGACTAACAGCATGGAGCAGAGATGGGGAGCAACCTCGGAAAGGAAAGCCAACTCGTACTGCCTGTCCTCTAGGACGTCACTGCCAAGGGCAGGAGCACCCCCGACGGACGGAGGACGGGCAGGGTCAGAGACCAGAGCGGTAGCGTAGTCAAGGCGGCGGGTAGAGGCGAAGTAAGCGACAGCAGCGACAAGTGCGTCAAGGCGCGATACAGGAACAGCAGGGTCGGTAACAAGAGAGGCAAGGACCCGAGGGACAAGGGGACGAGCAGCACGGAGGTAGTCAGAGAACGGAGGAGGTGCAACAGCAAGGGACGAGGGAGGAGGGGACGGGAGGAGGGGAGGACGAGACGAGCGGGAATGGAGCAACATAGGGTGGGTGGGCAGGACAAGAGAGACGGGACGAGCACGGGAGGGACGGCGAGCCCAAACGTGAGACGGAGGTGTAGGGTCAGGGGACAGCGGAGGAGACACAGGAGGGGAACGAGGAGGAAGACGGGCCGGAGACGAGTCCGGCGGCGGGAACACAGGACCGTAGACAGGAAGGTCAGCAGGCGGTGGGGGAGACACCGGCGCGCGGTCCGGGGAGGGAAGGCCGAGCAGGCAGAGAGCGGAGACCGGCGGCGACGGCTGCTGCGGCGGCGACGACGGCTGGGCCGGAACTCTCGGACCAGCAGAGGCAGAACGACCGTCGGCAGAACACTCAACAGCAGCACCCCCAGAACCAACACCCCCAGAGCGAGAACCCCCTCCAACACCAGCGGCACCCCCAGAAGCCGCAGGACGAACACCCTCCTCCACACCAGCACCCCCAGGGGCCAAGAGCGGTGGCGGCAGTGGCCGCGACGGCTGCGGCGGCGGCGACAGCGGCGACGGCTGCGGCAGCGACGGCGACGGCGGCGGCAGCGGGGTCGGCGACTGCGGCAGTGGGGGCGGAGGCACCGGGGAAGGGGGACGCGGCAAGGACGGACCGGGGGTACCACCAGAGTCAGCAGACTCCTCAACGGGGACAACCGACGGGAGGGGAGTGACGTGAGAGACACCAGACGGGGCAGGACGAGGCGGGAGAGGGGCAGGGGCTACCGGGGGAGAGGGAGCAAGGAACAGGGGGGGGGCAACTGGGAGACCTCGGTGAGGGAAGCGGTGGTAGAAAGAGACGGACTCGTCAAAGGTGACATCACGAGAATGCAGGAAGCGGTGAGATGGCGGGTGATAGAAAAGCCAGTCAGACGAGTCCAGGGGGAAACCGAGGAAGACACAGGGGACAGTGCGGGCAATGAGCTTGTCCGTGCCAGAGGCACGAACGTGAGCAAGGCACCCCCAGACGTGGAACGCAGACGCGTCACCGGGGGACCCGGTCCAAAGGAAGGTCGGCGAAACCTGCGGCCGCTGGGAGCGTGGCCACAGGTTAAGCTGGTGAGCAGCGTAGCGAACAGCGAACGGCCACAGAAAATGGGGGGCATCGGCATGGATCATGGATGTACGGGCGACCTCCATGACCAAGCCGATGCGGCGCTCAGCAACCCCATTCTGCTGTGGCGAGTCCGGCAACGTGTACGACTGGGTGATGCCCTCCGCACGACAGAACTGTCCAAGCCGACCAGAGGCGAACTCGCCGCCACGGTAGGAGTGGAGACACAACACGGGGAGACCGCGGTGGAGACGCGCAGCCACAACCCACGGGAGAAGAACGTTGGGCACGTCGACCTTCCGCTCCAGGGGAAACACCGTGGTGTAGCGCGTGTAGTCGTCGACGAGCACAAGGAAGTAGCGCTCACCGCGCGGTCCGGGGACGGGGGCAGGGCCCCAAACGTCCACGTGCAGGGTCTGAAGGGGGGTAGTAGCAGGACGCAGTGAGGAGGAGTGAGGAGCACGGCGGAGCCGACCCTCGACGCAAGGCGTGCACGGTGGCGCAGTCGAGGGAGGAAGGGCAGGGAGCGACGCGGGGAGACCTAAGACAAGACCGTGCTGGGACATGTGACGCAGACGCGGGAGAGCAGGGTGATCTAAGCGGTGGTGCCAAAGAAGGGAGGGGTGAGTGAGGGACCGACACGAGTAAGCTGCAGCGACCTGGGAGGACGCACCAACCGGGGGGGAAGCGGTGTCTAGGGTAAACAGACCGGACACCGGGTCCCGGGGGAACGTCGCAAGGGGGGAACCTGAGACAGCCTCAGAACAGACAGCGAACCGCTCGTGCCCGGGGAACGTGGTGGTGACGCCGAGGTCCTGGAGACAGCCGACACCAACCAGGTTCCGCGAGAACGAGGGAACGTGGAGGCCAGTAAGGGAGCCCGAGGGAACTGCCGGACAGGGAAGGGACGTAGAACTGCGCGCGACGACAGGACTCACAGAGGGGTCAGCGAGAGAGACAACAGCACGTGCAGCAAGCGGCGTGAGCGTGGAACGGTCGCGGAAGAAGCAGGCTGAAGCACCGGAGTCGAGAGTGAAGGACAGCGACGCAGTGGCGGAGGCTGGGGACGGAGCCGGTGCAGCGACTAGACTAGGCAACCTAGGCAGTCCTACGCCTGACGCAGCAGGGGAGGCTAAGCTACACAGTGGTGCAACACCTAAACTAGAGTACACAGGGTAATAAGATCCAGCAAAACTAGAAGCGTTAGAATACAAAGCATGCAAAGCAGCACCTATCTGATCCATGTCTAACTCAAAGATCGGCACGCCCTGGCGGAGCAGGCTGTGCCAGTCGGGGAGGTCCGGGGCCGGGCCAAAGCGACGACGAAAGAGATCGTCGAGGCGGCGGAAACAGCGGGCAGTCGGGTGCGGGCGGCGGCACAGAGTGCCGCGAAGAGGCCCGGTCTAAAGCTGGTACTGGCAGGTGACAGCACCAGAGCCGCCGGTAGACGCCAAGCTGCGCGGGCCGCCACCACGGCCACTACCTCCGGAGGTGCCGGGCCAACCAGGCGGGAGACGGGCCCACTGTTGCGGCGACTGCTGCTGGGACGGTGACTTCT